AAAAAAATAAAAACAACCCCCCCACCACCAAAGTAAACAATAAACAAATTGGTTTAAATAAAAGGCAGATTTGATGGGGCAATTCTACTTTTTATTGCTGATTTTAGAAGTATAATCACAGAAAGGAAATAAATTTTGAGATCTAAACCTCATATATTTTCTAGTATCATTCAGAGTTTAGACTTTGTGTTTTAGACAACCACAGTTTGTGTCAGGGTTTCTAAAATTTTTCATCAAATATCACCGGATGAAATAAATATTCATCCAAGAAAATATGAGATCTGAAGCTTAAAAAAATACTTTTAATTTGGATTTATTATGTCTATGATATATATTAAAAAATCTTAGCAGGACTGCTCTGTAGTGCTAATTTTATGCAGTTTTCATTTCCCAATTTAAACAATGCTTAGCAAAACAAAGTAAGACAATTTTTTTATGCAAATTTTTCCCTCACTTGACATATTCTTCATTTTTGCACTCATATGGGATTGCAATAACTGTAGTGCATTTCCACAGAACAGGGTATCTGTTGCAGCAAACAGTGTCATGTAAAGTCAGATTAATCTCCCACCAATTCTGATTCATGGAAACTATCAAATAACCACAGCAATGCCCAGATTTTCTCATAGAATAATCTCTAGGCCAATAATATTCTTTTGAATTCTAATCTCCCTGGATCTACAGTGTTCCTAGTTGATTTTTCAGCATCTCACAACAGGAGCTCTGTTTAATCAAATCACCAACAGGCTGAAATGCAGAAAAGACCCCATGGCCATTATACCTGGAGGACTTAAAATTAGAGCTAATATTCTGAATCAAAGAATTAAGCAGGGTTAATGGAGGCACCTGAACTGTCTGGGGAGGGTTGTGCAACTATAATGACACAGGAACCTTTGGTCTGTAGGTTTGGAAGAAAGCAGGGTTTGAGGAACATCAGTAAGGAAAGAGGACAAAGTGAAGATCTTCTGGCACAGGCTGCACAGCCTTGTGAAAAGAAAGAATTGAAAAGTAGGGGGGAAACACTGCTACATTCAGAGGGGCTGAAAGTGGGGTGAAACTGTGGGAATACTGCAAACCCTCTGACGAGGCACCAGTGCTGACTGTGGTGGCCACGACGCTGCTGCTGAACCTTCACCCAGGGCAGGCAGCAGTTCCTCGGGATGTATTTGAACTATGGGCTTCATGCCAAAGCTTTTGGTTTTTTCTTCACTACTTTGTTATAACCCTGCCACCTTCCCAACCCCCCCACCTTCTTCCTTTCCCCGCTCTGCATAAACTTGCTTCACAAGGTGTTGTCTTCCTCTGTGACTACTGTACTTTTATGTGCTGATTAGAGACAAGAGGCAGGCTGGAAGTAGCAGAGAATTGGAATTTGTGTATTATTCATTAATTTAACGGTGTTTTATACAGACTAAAGGAATAAGGGGTAACTATTATTTTGGCACAGATTTAAATTATGGCCTGAGACAATACAGGAACCTGTGTGGGTGTATTAAGTTAAAGAGTCATTTCCAGGTTTAGCACACAGAAATGAAACGCCAAGAAAAACTCTCATATTGCAAAATAGTTACTTAGAGTTCATAAACTGCTGACTCAAAAACGTTATGAAAAGTCAGCTTGCTTGTTGAGGAATGTTAGAGAGAAGTTTGGAAACTAAATTTAAGATTGTAATTAACATGTAAAGTGAAAATTTTAACATGGTTTTCTAAATGGATCACTATATACAGTATGAAACTGAGAGACAATAGCACCTCATCAGCAGGAAACAGATGCAAAGGAATGCTAAACCAAACTGTTTATGATTATTTTGTACTTCATTAGATTCAACTTAACTACTATCATTTTATAAAAATGCTAAAATCACTAGTCATGCACTTCAACGAAATAGCAGTTTTGCAAATTTTCTATTTTCTATTCCCAGTGACAGTTAATTCAACTCTTCAAAGTATAAGGTAAACGATGCAGGAAATGATAAATGATGCTCCCAAATAGCTGAGAGATGATAGCATCAAGACAAAAGGAGGGCACAGCACTACTTACAGAAGTTAAGGGATAACACAGAAAGAGAGAAGAAAGCTGTCAGGAACTTTTTGGCAACAAATTTCATCAAAACATTTCTATATGGAGGAAATATGATTTCATTCAAGAGATAATAATTTTAAAAAAATCCTAAATGTTCCCAAACACCACCACTTGTTTCTGATTTGTGTGCCTAATTTATTCACTTCTACCTCTTCACTCAAGCAAAGTAGAACAAAACATCACAGCAGGAGTAGAGCAACAGCTTTTGACTCCTGCTGTGTTTGCTCAAGAAAGCAAGTAAAGCTTTCCTACTAGGAAACAAAACACCTCTTTTAACTATTAAGGAAGAATAGCTTTTCCCCTTTGATGAATACAAAAAGCTGTTTTCCCTAAGCATTTCAAAGATAAAGGTCATTTTGGAAACCAAATCTGAAAATTGATACATTTGAGTTATTAGTTTATTTTACTGCTATTTTCACAGCCCTGTGGGATGGTTACCTAAAAACATGCAGAAAAGCAACATAGAGGACAAGTAAAATTCAAATGAATTTGTTTCATTTGTCTGGTAGTGGTTCTTTCTTTCAGATACATTAACTCTTCCTAGATATATTTTGTTCTGAGAGCTGCATAACCACAGTAAATCAGCATCTCTATTGCCTGAAATTATGGTGAGGGGTTTTTTGTTGGCTTTCGTTTTGGTTCTGTATTATTTCTTATTTTAAGTGTAGGATATATCACAAAGATCTTTTCAAGACAAATATCATGGTACAACAGATATATCCACCTTAAACTCCTCATTCTGAATTTGCAACGGTTTGACTTGGAGCAGAGAGCATAACAGTCACAGTTTTAATTGTTATTTAACTGCTGGTTGAGAGCCTACAGGTCTTCAAAATCAATAGCTAATCACCACAGAACATTGACTAAACACTGAAAAGACTGTAGCCAAAGTCTTTCACACATAAGACATAACACATTTCATCAAGATGATGAACTATTTATAATGGATATAAAATAGTAAAGGTAAACTTGAAATGCCACATTTTTCTTTCAGATCACTCAAAGATTAAAGTGAACATGTTTAGAGAGACATGACTGTTTGAAATGTTTATAGAGAAAACATTTGCAGGATGATACAGAGATTCCAACAAAAATACAGTACAAGTTCAGACACCATATGGCAAAACACGTACACCAGTGACTAAGTCATTCATAAAGGCATGCATCAGCTGTGCTGCTTCCCTTCACCTTGCAGAGAGCAAGAGATTCTCTAATTTTGTTCATAAGCTGTCAGGCCATGCTTATAAAAAGGAATATTTCTTGCCTGAAGTTATCAAAAGCCCTTGGGAATTACGTGTGTCTGTCCTCCCTCCCCGTCCCATTCCTTCCTTCCCACCCCTCTCCTCTTTCTCTGCACTAAAGCAGTACACAGTCAATTAGAACAATTCACCAGTTATGAAGGCATCTACACAATATGTGGCTTTAGCTCTGCATTAGTTTGCTCAAGGAATAAGTACTCCAAATTCCAGCATTTTTGACCTTCTATGAAAACTGTGTGCTTTTTCACTACCCTTGAACTTTAGTAATTTGTACCAAAATATTATTTAATAGCTCAGAATTGAGGACAGCAGAATAGGTAATACAGTATAACATGACACAATCTGGTAAACAGCCTGACTGGTTGTATCATTCTGAACCAGCACATTATAGCCTCACTCTCTCTTCTTTCTGCAAACTAAGAGAAGCATTTGGCACAAACATTTAGACAAGCAGGTGAATATGAGAAAGCCAAAGTTAGCCAGTCTAGCAACTCTTTGAGTCCTTCTACTTTTCCTGGAAGCTGTAAACAAAATATTTCTTTAAACCATCTATTTCCAGAAGAAAAAAAAAAAAGCAACATTTTTTGGTACCATGTTCTGCAACTATCAAAACAAGAACAAACTACAGACACAGCCCAGTGTCACAAAATAGCACATTAGCTGCAGATTTGTAATAGAATTTTCTGAGCTCCATGAACAAGAAAATTTCGAATATACATAGCATCATAAAAATAAAAGCTCCCATATCATATTTCTTGCTTTTTAAACTAAAAAGTTAGTTAATCATGAGTTAAGTTCTGATTTCCATGGAGGCCCTCACATTCTTTGAAAGCTATTCATTGAAGATCACTTCACCTATAGCTTTCATTAACTACTGAACTTTTGTCATAATTTATCAATGATGTTTATCTGATTAATTGCTGTGTCTCCTTATTAAAGGTACGTTACCAAGAACAATAAGAATGACTTGGACAAGTAAGTATTGCAATTTCCCAGCATATTCCATTCCTTTTTTCATTTTAATATTTTTTACCAACACCACAAAACATCATCTACATTTTCTAGTTTCTGGAAGCTTTAATTATATTTGTGAAATACATAAGGATGATGCAACAGGCATCAAGCAATCCTTCAACTTTGCCACAATCACTGATGTGCAGTGGTGGCTCTGCTATCATACCATATCGATGCAGAAGTGGTTGAAAGGCAAGAGCACGAAAACTATGCAACCTATTAGAGAAGTCAAATGTTGAATGTGTTCAGAGGTGTGCTGATAGATACAGTGGGGATCAGTGAAAGGGTACCAGCTATACCACGGGTTCTGCAGGGACAAAATGATCCAGAGATGTTTCACATGGAGTAATGGGGTGGGTTTATATTTTGTAATCCTTACTATTATTTCAAATTGTTGATAAAATAGCCTCCCTGTTGTTTCAAAGTTATAGGCTACTAGATGCCTATCATGTTAAAATAGCTCATACATTTGAGGAGCTGCTCTCAGCAGGTTCCTCAGCTGGGCTGGATGGGAGCTCCCTTCCTGCAGCCCAGTCCAGAGTGAACTGTTTCACTGATCACTGCTGTACCACACTCACACCACCATGGTAACATGAAGGACTGGTGACTGCTTTGAATGACTAAGATTGGATTAAAATATTTTACCTTTTGAGCCTGAGGGAGCTGGAAAACAACAAAACAGAACAAGCAATCATTATATACTAAATTAATTTGAACAGCTACTTTAGCTGTTGTATTAATAAAATCATAAGCATAATATAAAACAAAGTATAGAGGAAAGAAACTAGAGGAACCAGGTTTACACTGCCAATTGATTTAACTTATTGAGGGCTTTTTAATTGAGTTTATGAGTTGACAGCTTCTCTACTAGGTATCACAAAAGCACCATGCAATTTGTTAAATATCACAACACTAAGAGAGGGATTGTTTTCTCATCAGATATGGTATCACACGTGAACTGTGAAGTAGTTCCATCTTCCTGCACACAAATATAATTCAATATAAAGATAGCTTTAGTTTTAAATGACATGGACATCAAGAGCAGATTATCATATTAAAGTAGAAGGCTATATTCTCCATAACAGAGGAAAGAAAAACAAAATGGTAAGAAAAAGTTAGTAACTGCTTATGTAAACATGTTATAATACATGCATAATATTCAATACATTATGCATAGAACAATACATTTCTGTGCTGTAAAGACAAGTATGATTATATGTCCATATATGCAAATAAAAGATAAGTGTTTATGCATATATGCATATTTATATCACACAGATGTTCTTAGACAAGATTGTTCTTAGACAACCCTGACTGTATGCACAGTATTTACTGTAAGCAACAACTCACATAGAAAGGCAGGGAGAGCAGGCAGGAGACTCCATTACACATAAAATACCTTGGTTATCAAGAGTTGAAGGATGGGTTCTGTTTTCACTTTAGAAAAAAGAAAACCCATTGCAGGGGAGGAAGTCAGAAAACCAAAGTATTATAGGCCCAATACAGTTTTCCCTTTTTCTGAATTCTTCTCTTCCTACTGCATACTTGTAGAGAAATGCACCATACACAGCAACTTAGCCTTGTGCTAAATCCACCCTCTCAGAAAATTTGTTTTTCTCATACAAATTGTTCTCTACAAGCATCAGTTGAACACAGAAACAGGCAGGTGAATCGATGCCAAATGCAAAAAAGACCTTCAAGATCTCTAGTGAGCTTCTGACTGACCTTTTGTCCTTGCTCTGAATTAAACAGAAAAAAACCCAACTTCCACAGGGTCCTCTGCTAAAAGCAGATATCCACATCAGAACACATCACAAAAGGGAACTGTCACATGATCTCTAATCCACAAACGCTGGGAGCAACCAGCCACAATTTCTCTGTTTTCACAATATAAAATGTAACAAAATTTATGGCAGGGACAATTGCTGCAAGTAAAATTCTGTCATCCTAAAACTTCAGCGATCCAATAGCAAAATACAAAACCATGATCACATTAAAGTATAACCTCTATGTGTTTCTTTAAAAGCCTGGGGTTTTTAATAATTGATCACATTGAACCATATATGAGGGTTGCTGCAGAAAGTACAGATATCTCTGAACTGTAAATACATGATCTAAATCCTGAATAACAGGTTAGAGCACTTTAAAGCCTTTCTTTAAAGTTTAACTACTTACTAGTTTTTTACTTGGTTAACTACTTCGACTCTGAGAAGTGGAAGTTTCTTCTTTTTTACATTCAGACAAAAGAAGAATGTTGCAACATGATTTTTTTTTAATTTGCTATTTCAGCAATGAAACCGGTTTGTTCTATAACACTTTTTTGTGGGGGTTTTGGTTTTGTGGGTGTTTTTTTGTTAATGCCATCTTCTTCTTAAATACATGGAAAAATTACAAGCATCTTTTCCTTGGCATCTGAGATAAAGACAGGTGCAGTGAAGAATGATGTCCAAACTCCCAATTTGGGAATAAATCCTGAAGAACTCCATGATTTCCCCAAGCCCACTACACATATCAAACTCAAATGTTTTCATAAGGAGCTAATTTGTATGCCATCTTCCACCAAAGAGTATGTCAAGTGCAGTCAAGGCAGCCAATGCAGCACATACAATGTTAGGTACAGAAGTATCATGGCAGAAACTCTTATTTGAAGATAACATTCAAACTAAATTGGAAAGCTGATGGTCCCAGACAGAGGAGAGAGGTTCAAAGAAAGGGGTGTAGGGGCTTTGTGGTGTGTGGACAAAAGAATTAAAAACCTGAACAAACAAAAAAGCCAAAACACAAATGCATGCACACACACAAGGCTCTATTGGGACCTCAAATTTATGTTAAATTCTTATACAAATATTAATTACTCTTCGATGTAATTTTTACTACTTCTTTTCAGAACTTGAGTTTACTCCTATTTAAGCACATCCTTTCAGATAAATACAATTTGATCAAGTTTGGCCATGTGAGGGAGTTACAGTCAGATGGAATGCAAGTGAGGATTTCCTATTAATAATTACCACAAACACTAGATGCTACACACTTTTGCATATGAAAACATCCCTATTGCTTTTACTCAGATTATTTTCAAGAGCACATTGATAAGCATTTACAAATTAGAGATCTGTATTATCTATTGCTGAATTTATATAACCTCTTATAAAATCAAGAATACTTCCTTGTTCTGAAATATTAGTAGTCACAACCTTGATTAAGAATAATAAGGCCAGCACACAAGATCTACATTCCATCATGCTTTTTCCTGGGCTTGAAACTTTTCACCTAAGCTTCAAAATCCAGGTTCACAGTCTTTTCCTTAAAAAAAAAAAAACCAAAAAACCTGTCTGTTCAAGTCAGATAAATCTTCATTCCACTGCTGATTTGAAACTTGGCTGTTACAAGATCCTATATGTCAGCAATTCACTTTAATAATTGCTACAAATTCCTTTGAAATAAACTGTGGAGGTTTGTCTGACATTATCCCTTCTGGGAGGCCATAGGAAACAAATAATTTTCCTAACAATAATAGTAATAGTCCTCTGGTCTGACCCTTTATTGGACAGTCTAAAAACTGCCTGTCTCTGTGTAAAACCCAGTGGGTACCTCTGATTCCTGTGGTTTGCTTTACACACTGCTAAGAGGCAGTTTTGCAATAAACTGTGTGATCTTTCCCTGGCCCTGAAGCACTGCAGGTCTTTCTATTCTACTTATACCCATGATAAATTCTGCCCTTTCAGTGGTTTTATTCAGCTCCAACCATAACAAAGCACCTCCTGTTCCTATTTGTTTTCTAGTAGTGTCTCTTCCTCCCCCTGGTGACTGTCTCTAAGGAATACACATGATGGGGCATAGATGCAGGGAGGAAGCCTGGTCATTTGCTGTCTCACATTTTCTTATTCTCTTTTGGATTTTAAAACATTTTACTCCTCAGAAACTGCAAGCCCCCTGAGGTTCACAATATGCTTGATGCCAGTAAGACATGTTGAGAATTCCACTTCCAAATTCAGGTCAACTTGGGGTCCTGTCACACAATGTAACACAGAATAAACAACTGCAGGAGGTTTTTCAATACCATCGTTGCACACAGAGTCATGCTGTCCACATTTGCAAATAATCTAGTATTGTTTCCAGCTCTTCATGGAAATGTGTTTGGTATTATCAGAAAAAGAACAATCACAGTCACTTCTAACATGGTAAAACAACCCTAGACAGGCAAAGGGATCCAACAGCAAGGATTTTGCACTATTGTTTGGATCAGATACTTTGAGGACAATATGAGTGCAGCACACAATACCACAGAGAGATCTGAAATACTGTCTTAGAAGCAGGAGGTGTATGTTATAGGACCAGCAGTTCTGATAAATGCCTCGTAAAAGTCTGTCTCCTTTCACCCTTAACAAAATAAGTTCATCAAGACTCATTTTGTGTTTTAGTGATAATTCCAAAAGAAAAAGCCATACACTTTTAAAATCTTTTATAGCTGTTTCAACAATTTGTTCAAAACACTATGTATGTCCTAGATTTCCAACCATGTCTAAAAGTCTTAAAGGAAAACATATTAGATTTATAGAGCTACTCTTCTGTTGGATCATAATTCAACCTTATGTTTTTTTGAAGAATAGCAAAAACCAAATCTTTTGGAAGACTAAACTACACTCAACAGTTTCTTATTATATCAGAAAATCGTCTTCTATTACTAAAGAAATAAAAATAGCATATATCATCTTGAAATTTACTTTCAATTTTCTATTTTTCCAATAATTGCACGAAGTTATCATTATAAAAAAATATATTATTGCAATGTACTTATGTTAAAGCATTGAAAAATAAAAAAGTAACTCTTATTTTACATTCACTGACCTAGTTTCAACAGACCTATTCTCCTGCCAAGCTTTTAAATGTCACCAGTCACAGAAAAATGCTGACAGCCCTATGGACTTGATTGTTTCATAATCAGATACGATAAAAATCAATAGGAATTAACCACAAACATGTCAGTAAATAATCAACAAGTCTGAATATGGTTTTGATAGTACAGCCATTTCTGTAAATACTTTCGGAGCTGCACTAAATTTAACCTCAAGTCATCGCTGCATTTACGATGTTTGCAATGTTCAGACTCATCCTGTTCATGTCACATATTGACTCCGAATTTGGCACTGGATGTATGGCTTAGAACTTTTACTTTTTAAAAATACACTTTCAGGATATGAAGTGCTGTGGCAAATGCAGAAAGGCAAAGCACTTCATACATTACCAGGCAGGTTTCCCCAGCTCTTCCCATAAAAGGCAAAAAAACTTGGGAGAGAATAGAAAGAATATTCACACTCTTAGTTTTTAACAGTAAATGTAAACTTTCTGCTTTAAAATTTGCTTGCTTAGTTGCTATAAGATACAGCATTTAAATATTATGGTTTTGGTGATTTTTCTTTTACAATCTATGCACTTATTCCCCCCTTTCTAGAACCATCTACTACAGGCATCACAGATGATTACACGCACACACAGACGAAGAAATAAAATTCAGCCTCCTACTGGGATATTCCTGATGTTAAGGTTTCAGTATAAATATTAAAAGTATGACATTAACCTGCACCTCACTGGGCTGACATCTCTAAGGAAAATGCACTTGAATTTTCAAGGGATTTAACAGCAAATCCTTCTTTGTTCACGTA